GTTGTTCTTCTTCTCCTTCTTCTTCTTCTTCCTTACCCAAGTTATGATTGGCCTTTTCCATTGCAACCTGTTCCAATTGCTGCAGTCTCAATGCTTCGGCTCGGGCACGCGGACAGAAAAGGATGGGTGAACAGACGGTGTGAAGGGTTCGGCCGTAGCGCTTCACTGCCGAGTAAAACGCTGTTAATGAGGGAGTCATTGCTTGGGGTAGAGATAACACCGCCTGACTCTGAGATTCTAAGGGAGTGTACTGGTTTACTTCGAAAATGTCACCAGCCATCCAGGCCTTCAACGGTGCCGTAATAAGACGCAAATATTCTGCACGACGCCAGTCATTTTTGACTGTTCGTAGGGCCTGATCCACGTGAAGGTGTACCACATCAAGATAATCTACTCCAGTCGACGACCTACTGCCAAGAGCTGGAATTTGGGCACAATTCTGTGAAGAGAAATAATAAACTGGGGCATCAAATCTTGCAAGCATGATTTTCTTGCTTTATTACAAAAATTACCTGGTAAATCTTCGTAAGATGCAAATCATGAGAATCCCGTGAACTTCCCCCTCCAATCTTAAGATGCTGCTGAAGGCATAAAGACTGGGGTTGGAGAATTGTGGACTCAGTACTGGGGGTAGCTGGCGAAGTAGAATGAGTTGAGCGGCCTGCTGACGCGTTTGATGGAGGGGCAGAGGGCGTCGGAAGTTGAGGCGGAATTGGAATCTCAACAGACGACGAAGCAGCTTGCGGTGACGAAATTGCTTGCGATGGAGGTTGAAGAGAAGCTCCACTACCAACCAAGCCTTCCAGAAGGCGTCGTCTGATACTTCGGGATGCCATATTAGTAGATGATGTCACTGCTACAGTCGGAGTAGGTGTAAGTTCCGGAGGGCAGAGACGATCACCCAGAAGAACGGCTTGTCTTAGCAATCGAAGGTGGCTGGGTGTACGAAGACAGTGGAAAAGACCCATTTTCTGCAGAGACAAGCAGCTCATCAGCTGAAACGCAGAAGGAAAATCAGCTGTTCACCACTAAGTTTAAGTGAAGGAGCTAAATTAAGTAGCATTACTGCACCTGAAATCTTTGGTTGTACCAAGCGACAATGCTGTCGATGCGATGAAAAAGACGGTCGACATCATCCCGGCTCCAATTGTAAAGGTGAACGCTAACCTCACGACCTCGAAGATGTACAAGACATAAGGTCTGCCGTGGTATTTGTAGGCAGGCGCAGGGACATGAAGTGTCGCTATCTTCTGCGGTGGTATTTGTAGTAGTGGAGACCGATTCCTCGATTACAGGTGACGACGATGGTTTTGATGAATGGAAAAGGAACTGAGGTAGGCACAACTGCATCTCACAGAACTCGGGGACATCCAAAGCCGTGGTGGACGAGACCGAAGCTGTGAGAGAAAACTGATGAGGGAGTGAAAAAAACTGTCTCCAAGACCATATGTTATTCAAAGATGAAATCTTCTCCTCCAGGACGCGTTGGGTTAGACTTTGCAATGTGGATTCATCAATATCGCCAATGACAGATTAATACCCCAAAATCATACAATAAGGGATAAAGAAAAGAAAGCCACCCTTATCTTTTGTACCTGATCTACAGCGTTTTAGGCTTAAGCTAGTTATTGCCTGATCTACCAATGGAAAGCGGCAACCCGACAAAGGTCATAGGACTTATTCAGGGCTGAAAAAATTTTAAAACCAGACACAAACGAATCACACCTGTTATAGTGTGACACTCTGGTTAAACACCTGTAATTTACACAGATATTTATCGTAAGTTATGACTAGACGTCGTGAAACACTCGTAAATGGTGAAAACTAAGGAGACTAAGGCCAAAGAAAGTGTAAAACTCGATCTATCAAAATTGGTTTTGGGCTTAAAACAGCGGTACCATCAAATGAGGCATTAAATTGAAGCAACCATCTGAAAGTGAATATTATGGAAACAAGCACGGTATAAATTTACGCAAATTCGCCAGAGTGGACAATGGAACATCGAAGGAAACATTTTCCAAATTCGTCATCGACTCCATGGACGCTTCAACCAGGAGAGATTGCATCTGAAGTTCAAGAGTTTGGTGCCGTTGAATTGGAACACGACCAGACCACGAAGCGACTAAGTCAAAGGGAATAGAGTTGTTACTGCTCCAGTCGTCGCAAAATAATTAGGCATTGTCAGTGCTTCTCAGTAGTGGTAGTCCAAAAGCCTTGCACAGAACAAATTTGACCAGACCTTGGAAGTTTGAGTGAATTGTAAAAGCATAAACATGGTTGCCGAAAAAAATTCTGTATAATTGTGGTGCTGACGAGGCCTTGTCCTCAGGAGTAAACAGGTTTCATGAATCAGCACTTCAGCAAAGATTGCGAAATGATGAAGGCCGACCGTTGAGTAATCTAATCGTAGTGATGGGTATTTCGATGCTCAAGCTTATGGAGTAAGACTATAAATGTTGCAGAAGACTTCGTTGGGGGAAAGCGGGGTTCACAAGGCGTGGAAGAGGTATTATTGATAGGGCATGGAAATTTAAGTACAAATTGAGCTTCATACAAATATGGCATTGAATGAGATCATTCAAGAAAACGTTTTAATGGCTCTTCGGTGAGACTTAACGCACCGAATCTTGGGATATAAAGACATCTTAGAGTAAAAAATGCTCCTTAAGGCTAAAGCACGACAAAGTCTTACCCTGTTTTACAGGAATTTGACGCTCAT